TTTAAGTCTTCAATCTCGTTTCCAATTATGTGTTTCAAAATTTGTGCATCACTATTTTGCCGTCACTGAAGTAAGGGCCAATCATTACCTGTCGAAGAAACAAACATCATTGGTTTTACCAATGGTGGGTGTTTATGTAAACTGTAGCACTTGCATTGGAATTTGGACTGTAAACTCTCCTGTATGTAGATGTAAGTTCCGTAAGCCACCACATGTAATATGGCTGGAAACTTGCCTTCTCCGATTAATGATTGTGCTATCGGTCTTGTATGAAATGATATTATTTGTTCTCTGCTTATATGCCTAAAACCCAGATGCGATGCATGGCACAAAATGTTGTGAAAGATACTTCAGCGCTGATGCAATGGCAAGACGGATTGAGTCTCTGCCTAAATTGAATATTGTGCAAAGAATTTTAATTGGCATGCCTGTCTTTAGTTTAGTGAGAAATATGCCGATTCACGTGCGGACAGCATGTACTCGAATCTCTCAGATTTCCTCCAACTTCTGAAAAAAGTTCATCTACCAGGTAAGTTCTTTTTTGTTATTCCAGTCAAAGTTAAGATGTATGAATCCGATAGAAGACCTTTCATTGTCGAAATCGATGCGTTTTTCACTTCCCCTTACAGCAATTTCTCGAATCTCTGTTATTAGTTCCATTAGATCTGAGCAGTTAAAATCAGAATAAGTCTGATGTGGTTCTAGACTGGGAAATCTGTTCTGCTGCGTGAGAGTAGAAAAGATTTCTTCTGATAGATGGCCTGGGCAGTAACTACAATGTAGCTCCAATGGACAATTAATATGTTTGTCCAAAAACAGGTAATATCTAGCATTTTTAGGTACGACGACTTGCCTTGGACCACGACGCTGGATTTTTCCGTTATTTCCCCCATCATGACAAGAAGCACACGACGGTTGTGACCGGTCAGCAGGGGATGCTCACTCTTCCATGGCGCCTGTTCCCACCTCTGATTTTCGGAGGTCCGTGTTTGCTCTGCTCCTATTTTGTATTGTTTTATAGACTTTGAGATTGAATATATTTCCATATATTTCTTGCATATAGCACACGGGAATGACAATGACTGCCACCCACTGAAGGTATTTTATATATAAGGCAATTAAATAGCTCCTGTTCACTTATAGTATGTCCTATAAGACCAGGAACTAATGGTTCGGAGATCCGTGTCATGTCGTCCTGTCATCATGTGATATGTCCTGAGATGCTGTTGTGGTTTTATGAAATTTGTGTATGACACCCTTGACCTGTTGACTGTTAGCTATACCCCCCGCTTGAAAAGCGGGAGGGTATATAGTTATCGGTATGTTTGTAATTCCGTCCGTTTGTCTGTACGTCCGCCCGCCTGTTACGCTTTGGGGTACCCATCTTCTCTTATCCAAAACTCCTCTTATACCACTGAATGAAATTTAATGAGACTTTCAGAGCATCTATATTACATAATGCCATTGTGCACCTACTATTTTATTTTTTGATCCGACACATATTTTGGGTTTCCAAGAGCAAAACATGACACTGCCATTATACTCTTACCTGAGACGTGAGGTGTGGCGGCTTCTGAATAATATGGGACACCAAGAATTATTCCTCTTTACACGTTACAGTAAAGCAATATAGAGAGGAAAATTTCTCATAGCAAAACATGGGCACCAATCGCATCATCTCTCGTCTTTCCGTCAGAGGTCGGAAAAACAACCTCGAGGTCGTTTTTCCGCTAGTCGGAAAGGCCCGAGAAGTTGCGATTACATGGGCACTACCATTATATTCATATGGGAGGCGAGGGGTATCATAAAGTGAGCTCATTGCTCACAGTACGGTATACCTTTAGTTTTAAATACATTCGTTTTTAAAATCTTATTATAAAATCGCATGATTTTGTGTATAATTTTCAATTTTTCTCGGGGGAGGCCCCCGAGCCCCCACCAATGGGAGGGGTTACCCCCTCCCGAACCTACCTCCATTCGTTGCTTTATACTTCAGGTGAATCTTCAATGCACAATAGCCTACACATGAACAGAAAAGGAATAAACGCCGCTGTTAGCATTGGTATTGAAAATGCTGCTTACCCTTTTTGTGGTTTATCCCCCCCCCCCCTTCCGTTTAATATGCCATGTGCCAACACCTATGTATCGGCTTGGAAAGATAAAAAGTTTGACCTTCTACCCGTCTTCTCCTCTTCTCGACGGGAGCTCAATTTATAAGTTTTTCGAAAGATAAATAACAAATCAATGCATTCCATTACTAAAATCTAAGTCCAGAATTTTTGGTTTGATACATATTTTTTTTTCAAAGTGCGTTAAGTGTAACAATGGTAAATTATGTAGATGTAAACTCTTAAACTGATTTTTTTTTTTCAAAGTGCGTTGAGTTGTTCCAAAATTTAACGCACTTTGAAAAAAAATTCAAAGCGAGTTGATTTTGCCTAAATTTTAACGCACTTTTAAAATTTTCTTCAAAGAGCGTAATTTTTTCAAAGTGCTGTGCCATGCATAGTGCATTCTCTTTCGTGCCAACGTTCAAATTTCATTTCAAAGTGCAAACGCTTACGGAAGATACAGTTGCCAATAATTTTATCATTATTTATCTTAAATATTTTTTATCGACATAGGACAGTCACGACCGGGACTCGAATCCACGTTATTCCGATCAAGATCTAGCGAATTCTTGTTAATGGATGTAAACGTAATTTATAAGAGATTTCTAAAACAACAATACCACTGATCATCCTTCTTCATTAGTTTCATTGGTAATTCTGTATTTATGTTAAAAATCTCCCTCGAAACAAGATTTTGTTTCTTGAAATTTTTATCTACCGTAAAAGGGTCATTTCTGAAACTTAAATTATCTGAAATGGAAAATGATATCACCATATTATAAGTAATGGCATGATAGACTAAAAGTTCATAATATTTGCATGAAGTGCAAATTTAGTTTCTAAGAAAATCTCAGAAGAAAGTGTAAGCCAATGACAAATAGAATTTTTGTTTCAAAGAGTTTATTTTTAGTAACTGAAATTGATAGTGAATACAATTGATGATCGTATACTGGACCCCTAAGGTCGCCGTAGATAGTATTTTTATAATGTACAATACATAATACTCATGCATTTCATTGATTTAAGTAAACAAGTTATTCAATGAATTGGGCCTAAATCGTGGAATTTCTATACAAAACAGTTCGTAATCTAAACATAAGTTTTTTTTGTAAACTTGCGGTCAGTGTCCTTGTATTAGGCAAAGGTTAGTATAACATTAACATAAATTTTAATAATGTTCGGCAATAACTGTTCCTGTATTGTCGTCCCCAAATAAAAACATCCTGGTAGCTTTAAATATATATGCGCTGTCCATAATCCGATTAACAGGTTTATTTATTTTGTCGGAAAAGTCTTACACTTCCATATCCTTCTTGAATTAGAGGCCAATGCACTCTATACTGTAAGTACATTATAAATAATTTATGATGTTTACTAGTATTTTACTAAATAAAATATTTGTCTCAAACCCTAAAGGTTTACAAAAGGGGAAGGTTACAGCAACCATTTGTCAGATGTCTGTGGGCTGAAAAGTGTTGAAAAAGACAGTGATTTTTATGAATTTATAGACTTGTATAAAGGCTGAGCTGTGAATCACTCAGATGTAAATTTTTGCCGGTTTAGGGGGGGGGGTCATTTTTTTTTATATCATTATAAATGTAAGAACGTTCTCGATATGTATAGGGTATTTCCTGTAAATAGGTGAAAAGTAGGACACTGCCGTGTATTTTAAAGCAGAATGCATATATAAGTTTAATTGTAAGAGCTAAGGGTATTGAATTTTTATAGTTAAATTGCATTACTTTTTCTTGCTTCTATGCAATGTTGCTGAAATGTCAAATCATGAATTCATATGGTTTAAAGTGCTAAATTCGGGGGCCTCCCTACAAGTTTATGGTTATCAGAAATGTTTCATGCCATTTTCGGAACAAAATCTTTGAATGAGAAAAAACTAAACTATACCCAAAAATATAAACATACATTTATATTCCTCAATAAATTAATATTAACTCATTGCATGGGATGCTGCAAGCCAAAAAATCCATATCAGATATGTGTACATTGCGCTTGATTATGTTGCTACAGTGTACTATTAAGATATGCAATCAAATATATGTTGACAAGGATCTTACATTTGAAAGTAAAAAGAAATATCAGGAGACACGTGCACAGATATATAAGGTTTTATTATATAGAAGAGTAGGGGGTCAAATTTCTTTGGGGTCTAGATTTTTTTCAACATCTGTGAAGTCGTAGAAATACCGGCCTGGAAGGGTTTTCTACGGTCGAAAACTGATCCTACTTGTTGTAGAATATTGACCCTGGGTCATTTTTCTACGTAGAAAAATGACTCCCATGTCGATTTTCTACGGGGGTCACTTTTCGTTGTTACACCGGCGCAATAACCCCCACCCCATATTCGGATCAGCGCATAGGCTAAATCTTAATTTATATAGAACTTAATTTTAAAGCTTTAAGCATCCATGATACTTTTGAAAAAGCCATATTGTTTTGTTTCATAAAAGTATCAAAATCAATCCCCCCCCCCAATATCCTATCCACCAGGATTTTTTACTCCATTTTTGTAGAAATTTGTATATTTATTATAGATTCATATTTTTTCTTTTCTATTCTGAGTCTGAAACAAATCTGTCCATTTATAAATTCATATTAAATTTCTTTAATTTTCTTTGTTCCTTATCATGATACCGTTTTTCGTCATTGATCAACTTTGATTAGATTTCTACACAGGCGCTTGACGCTTTTTACTTTTCTTTTCATAAATAAAAAAAAACTACACTATAATAATAACACAATTGCTTGACATTTTTATATATGCCTAAACTTCTTTTCATAGATAAAAAAAAATCCCTACACTAATAGTACAGAGTATTTTTTTTTTCATCTATGAAAAGAATGGTTATATAAAAACGTCAAGCGCCTGTAAATTTCGATCGGGATCTGGATTCCTAATGTTTTCGATTTACTTCATTGCTCCACGCGAGCGTCGTCACGTACACTATCATGACTATGGCACAGGTTCAGTTGAAAATGTAGGACTCCTTAATGGTTTTAAAGGTAAACTACCATTCAGGTATGCCTAATTAATATTTATGCTACTTTAAAACCTTTAAAGCGCTTTTTTCTTTGAAATATATTTCGTTTGTAAAGGGAAAAAATCTCGAAGCTTCCATCATCTGTGAAGTTTTGCTTTCAATCTCTGTACTCCCCCACAATATAAACACACGCGTGACGGTACATTTCACGTTGTTTGAAGTTCAAGACTGGTTTAATGACCAGCTAGCTGACCCCTGTCTGAATTTTAACCAAAAAAAAAAAATCATTGAAATTTAGGGTAGGGTGGTGTAATTTCGACCACCTGGTTAATTTCGACCGTTCATAAATATCTTATTACATTTTGTTTATGACGTATAATTGTGTATGTACATTTGTAGTATGCAGAAAGAAAACAAATTTTTAATATATTGTGCCCAAAATAATCTTATTTCCATGAGCGTTATAAGATCGTTATTGGAAAATTACATCAAAGAATAGGCTTTATCACCCGAAAAATTACTGACGAGTATATTTTTGTCACTACGGTGAACTATCACCTCAGAAAAATCTTGTATGGAAAGACAGTCAATGGATATCCCTGGCGTGATATTTATCAAATATTATTTTGAAAATGAAATTAATGCCCTTATAATTTATAGTATTTATTAGTTTTTTACAAATTAAATTGCAAATCAGCTTAACAGAAATCGGCCAAAGTTATCCCTACATGAATACGGCGTCAGTGGGTAACTTCAGTCTTCGACATATCCCGGGAGTCCGATGCCCGGGACCTGGTAAAATTGGAAGCGGGCATGTGGAAGTTGCACACTTACAAGCCCGAAGGGCATGTAAATTCTAAGATATAAGCCTCGGTATAATAAAATTAAATAAGACCAATTACACTAAATGTACTTTAAAGTCCATCTAAAATCAAGTTCAAAATAAAATTTAACTGAAATCTTATTTTACCGCGATTTCCAAGGAACTCTTCTGCAAAGGAGACGCAAAAAGTGTACAAGTTGAAAACAAATGGCGAGACCATAAATTGACAGAATGGATTTCAGATCATGGCATGAAATGGCAAATAAGAATAATACTATAACTTGATAAAATTCTGGGCATGTAAATATTTGTTCGGGCTTGTGTAATTGGTTATCACACCTGCCCAAAGGGCATGTGCTGAAAAAAAATTTTGGCGAAGACTGTAACTTCGACCAGTGTAAAATGACGCAATTTACTATCTGTCACCAGAAAGAATTCATGACGGTCCTGAAAAAATATTAGAATAAGTATTATATACATTAATACCTGGTAGAAACTAGTACTACAATAGTGAAAAATCATTTGTTTAATTTACACGCGGTTTTAGATGCCCGTACATGTACATTTGTAGCATACATTAACCAATTGGCAAATCGGCGTCATAGACATCTGGTGCACTCGATGTCTTCGAATTAGGTACATTTTGAAAATTGTCATTTTTTGGTCAGTATTTTTACTTGATCTTTTAGGCTGTACAGCAGAAAAATTAAAATTCATATTTTATGAACTATATTAGAGCTGACGCCAATTATGTCCTTTGTATTGGCCCCATCGGTCGAAAATACCCCGTGTGCGGTCGAAATTACCCAACACACATATCTTGTAAATCGAACGCATTTATTTCATAGTATGACCAAAAATATATAAAAAATCAATGTAATTTGAAAGATTAAAAGTATTTCGAAGGTAAAACGATCCAGTAAAAGTTGTAGCATAACATAACAGTGACATACTTTAACAAATCTTAAGACTAGTATAAAAAAATAACCGGTCGAAATTACACCACCCTACCCTATTTGTCGTCTTTTTATTTTTAATTTTCATGGTTACATAGTGCTGATAAAAAATATCATTACATGTTGCTTAATCACACTACATTACATAATATCAGCACTGCACTGCATGGGTACTTGGTTTTTATTTACATGCATATAAAGGTCACAATCATAACTAGGTATATATAATATATAATTGATCATTTATACTCTAGCTCTGCTTCTCATAATTCTAAAATTCATGCAGTGAAGGCATGAAGTCAATGAGTATGTTTAAAAGAGTTTTTAATGACATTCTTAAAGGGTTTAAATGGAAAGGTTCGTGACATATAGCTTGTTTTATATGAGTGCTAAAAGGGTATTGCAAAATATTTGATTTTGTTGGACTGAGGCAGACTTAAAATGTCACACTCACGTGTATGGAAGTATTTGGATTTCTGTGATTTAATTTGTTCTGTCACCCTGGAGACTTGAGATCTTTTCTCCTTTTGAAATTTGTTTGGTAAGCAAGTTAAAGCAACACATTGCTTTCGTTGAACAGGTTTAATTGATTTAAAATTTTTGGTGATCAGATTTTATGGTTTTATAATTGGCAAAAATGTAATATTCCTGATAGGAAAATTGTGGACAGCTGTGTTCATTTAAATGCATGTACATGTATGCAGTTGTACACTGTACTTAAGAAAAAATTATATTTCGTTATTTCATGTTTACCCAATTATCAAGATTATATATTTACCGTCATTAAAAGAAAAGATTTTTTTTAAAAACAGTCTAACTGGTGTTCAGTGAAAAAGGAATTAAATCACAATATTTGAATATTCAGGGTCACTAAATTGTTAATTTATTTAAAATGATGATTATTGGTCTTATGTACAGTAAACTTGAAATTTCTGTTTAGTGTCATTAATCAGCACACCTCACATTACACGTGCTGACTTTCATTTTACATTAAGGTATAGTTTTTCAGTGCTTGCGGTTATGCTGATGACATTTTTAAAATAAATTTTTCTTAAGATCACTCAGGTGGAATTGATAAACAAGGTTTTCTCTATGTTACCTGAACGACACGATGAAAACCACACACCCATAAAATCTACATTCACTGTTCTAAGTACCGTATGGATGTGAGGTTAAAATTTTCCATGTTAGCTAGCTCTTTCATATACACATATACTTTTACTTTCATGAAAGCATTTCCTCAAACTTTTCATGAAAATGGCACATGAAAGGGGGTTATAAATTGATAGCAGATATAGACTAGCAAGCAGACTTCAATATCCATTAAGTTTTCTCAAGGTAGATTGATTCAGGTAGGAGAGTGATTTCCATTTCACGGGTGTATCCCTACGGTAAGTGAAGGTGTATAAATACCTTAACCCAGTACCAACATTCCAATCAGCTTGATGCTGTACGTATTGTTTACAAGAACACAAACCAATTTGATTTCAAACCACTTGGATGAAAAGAGTGGCTGTGAGGATATTTGATTTGGGGTATTTTTTTTGTGTGTGTGTGCATGTTGTTATACACCTCCCCATTTTCATTTTTTGTGGGCTTCCAGTTGACTGGCAAATGCGGGGGTGAAGGATTTAATTGAGTGAGAGGACAATATAGTGGGATTATATCACAGTATGGAAGTTTATCGATGATAAGATAAAAACTCCCTACAGGTATTTACAAACAAATACATCAGAGCTGTTGAAATCTGTTTTTTTTTAATTAACACAATTTAAAATGTCTTTTTGTATCATGTGAAGGAATTGAATGTTGTAAACAAAAAGTTTACTTAAAGGAATTCAAGCTAAATTCTTAAAGCAGAGAATTTTTTCTTCATTTTAAGCTCAGAGACTTTGAGGTAATCTATGATCAGAAGGGTATGTTGATTGGTAAGGGAACTAAGATTTCAATTTGGTATATCTCAATTTTCCAAAAATGTCCCCCCCTATCCCTGCAGTTTTAATTTCTAAAATTTCGCATGAGTCTGCATAATTTGCATACCAATGTAATATTCCGAGGCCATTATAATTCAACAGAGAGAAGTATTTAAATGATTTAACAGATCATATCATAAATGATATTACAGATGAAAAATCACCACCTTAATTCCTCCCAACCCCCCCTCACCCACCCCATCTCTCCCCAAAAAGAGAAAAAATGAACTACATCTTGTGGCCTTGTTTTTGACTTGATCTAGCCTCTAGGTTAATGATTTTCAGAATGGACATTGTGATTTTCTTATGCATGACCAGACGGTTTAAGTGGACAAAATAGGGATTGCTTGTCAGGCTTGGGACAAATATAGCGATTGATTTCCATTTTAATCCTTTATGAAAACAATCAATTCTTGACAGGAAAGAATTTTAAAAATATATAGCCATATAAAAGCAGCTGATTTTAAAGTCTTTTATTTGAAGAAAAAATCATGCTTGCTATTTTATAAGCACAAAAGGCTCTTTTGAGTGCCTAATATCATTTATCTGTATCATGTATTTATCTGTAAAGCAAATGATCATATACATGTAGTTTTGTACATTCTATGTTTTGGGAAGTCGGAGGGTGAAGGTGGGGGGAGTTCTTCAAAAACCATATTTGCATTTTTCTAGAGTACCAGGGTAAAAAACCCCAAACAGTCCCTTTGTTTGTCATATTCTACAGAAATTCAAATACACAGTTTCAGAGATACATTTTTTGAAATGCAGTGGAAAACAAAGTTCAAATTACAAGTGTTGAACATCAGATATGTTGACAAGAAACTAATTCAGACCTGAATGTAAACATTAATTGCTACCACATAATACCGAAACAACATTCGGAAGCTATTCTATTGATTCTTGGTTTAACTGAGTGTCATTAACTGTTCATTGAAGTACATTTATGGATTTATACACCTGTATTGATTCACCAATTCAGTCTGAAAGTTTAATACACTTTGCTGAAAGCTCAATAACACATTCAGTTGGACTAATATTATACTATGTAAAACGACTGTTGTAGAACAATTTTTCCTTTTCTTTATCAAGTTTATATTTCAAGTTTTCAACATGTTCAAATTAGCCTTTTTTGAGTGGGGGAGGAGTCATTTATTGAAGGTCAAAGAGTGAATTTGTATAATGTACATGTATTTTTACCTTTATAGTATATACATGTATGAACTAAAACTATCCTTTTGTTATCAGCCTCATTAATTTATGAACATGTATTAATTGCAGATGTATGATCAATATATTTTTTAGAGAATACATGTTGATTTTGCTGTTATTTTTAAAAATGAAGAACTTAATTATAAACACAGTTGTACAAAGATATAATTTTCACAGCATAGAGTTTATTCATCATCATTTCAATAGATTTCATTTAAGGACACACAAATGAAAAAAAAAAAATGTTTCTTATGCAGACATGCACTTTGACCATCAACCAATTCTGTGTATAAAGGAATTTTAAGCATCAAAAACTAATTCCCATATGTGACTCAATTGGATCATAAATCACATGTACTTTGAGTTGTTGATAGCTATTGTTTTTTGTTATGAAATTGTTTATACAACTTTGTGTTATTCTAATACGGAAGAGTAAAAGAAATAAATTTATATGGCCATAAATCAAATCTGAAAGATAAAATGTGTCCTTTGATCCATGCAAATGACTTTGTATTTTGAAAGCTCCTTGATGTTAATAATCAAGAGAAGTATGATCTTCAAGATGTTCAAAGTACAGAGGGTCTTTTTTTGACACAAGTAAATAGACACACTGTCTGTTCATTTGAACTTTGAGAAAGATGTGCACAACAGTAAACACTTGTTGTTTTCCACTCCGACATCACTCAGGTGATAAATGTAATGTAGATAAATAGGTGATAAGTGTACTTTTAAAACTGATGTTTCTTACTCCATATATTTATCATTTATGTTGTAATTTGGTCATTATCGACACTTCTCTCAGTTGTACCAGAGATACTGAATGATCTTTCTTATTCCTGTACATTTTATTTTCAGTTGTTTCCACAAGCTGAGTTTCGGTAAATAGCCTGGAATCATGGGAAGCTTTGGGGGTCACGCCCTTCCTGGGTCTTTCTTCATTATCATGTCAATTTGGTGGACCGTCTGTGTTTTCATTCGGCACTTCAAGTCCTTGAAAAGAAACACCCGATTCAAATCATCCGTAACTTTTCCCTTCCTCTGCTGTCCTGGAAGGCTTAAAGCATGGCCCTTGGAAGCCATGTTGAAACTTTTCATGGTGTCTGTTGGATTTTCATTGGAAATTTACACCGGCATGAGTGATGGGAAATTCTCAGCCCTTGGAAATGGACAGCATGCCACCATGTTTTTCTTTTTCGGTATGGCTGCGGTAATAGACTTGCTTTTATTTTATGATGTGCCATTGCCTAAGGACTTAGACTATGTTGCAACTATCATCGCCATAGGTATTGAAGGGCTTTTGTTCAAATTTCATCTCCATGGGCGATCACACTTGGATGTGCAGCTGCATACCCTTCTTATTTACACCATTGCCTTAAATACAATAGGAATAATCTTAGAAATGAAGTATCGTAACAATGTTTTGTGTGCTCTTTCCCGGTGCTATGGGTTTTTACTCCAGGGTACGTGGTTCTGGCAAATTGGATTCATCCTTTACAACCCAAATCCGAACCATATTCCATGGAAACCGGATGACCATGATGATTTAATGATTGCGACTATGTTCTATGCTTGGCACGCTGCCGCAGATTTCCTCGTTATTCTGTGCATTGGCGGAGTGATAGCCTGTATTCATCGACGATGTGGAGGATATGATGAAAAAGATGAATTTGCGATGAAAAGACTGATCCACACTGGTTCCAACGGCCAAACCTTGATCTCAATGCATGAGGACAGTGACAGTGATATTGAAATCCATAAACCTGTATCCAAATAATCCAGGTCTGTCATCCAGGCAATCCAGCCCATGCAGTGTATGCAAATGATGCTCTACTCCTTTAAGCCATAACACATATGTAGTATACATCAAGTAACGTCCTAGATGTTTAACCTATTTTTATATTCATATTAAATTTATTCATTATAGGTATCATATTGTAAAAACCTTTGTTTCATTTAATCTTATCATTGACTTTGCTCTTAGTTTCAACATATTTTGCCTGGTATATTCTTTTGCAGCTTTAATTATCTGTAGAAATCCTTGTTTTCCAGAATTTTTTTTGGAATTGATGTAAGGAGCTTATATTTTTTTAGATAAACAAAGTCCAAGCAGCTCTAAATATGTCATTTACTTCCATCCTTTTTAATTATCATTACTCTACCTGAATGATGTTTTTTTTTTGTGTTTTTTTTTTAACTTTTATTATCTTACTTTAAACGTTTATAATGCCAAATTTCAAACTTCATTGGTTAAATTTTTTTTTTCTTTTTTTGAATAAAAGGAAAATGGATCAGTTTAATCATTTTACTACATGTATATCTCAATTCAAATATAAAAAAGTTAAAAAGCATTAATTTTATAGCTAATGCATTAATTTGTGGGCTTTTCACAAACTAATGTTTTCTTTCCATATCCATTGAACCAGAAATAATTTTGAGAGAAAACATTGAATGGTTAATGAAATATTTTTGCCTTAAAGCGTTTTTCTATTATTTAAAGCTTATTGATTTTCCCAGTTTGTCGTCAACAAGCACTGCCAAGCAGAGGCAGTTACATTATATTGTTTGTAGCCTGAATGGACAATTTAATTTTAAATGGATACAATTCGAAGTTGCTGAACAGCCAAAAATTTACCCTCTTTAACCTGGGTTTTGGCAGCTTTTAAAGTAAAAAAAAATATTGCCTTCAAAAACTCTTCAAATCTCTAGTTATGAATATAATAACATGAAGCTTATCAAGCTTTTAGAAGTCTTGTGCAACACAGCTAATTTTATTTATCCAATCAAAACACTTGTTACAATTAACCATATTAAATTATGTTTAGAATCTTTTTGCTGTTGTGATTTTTTCCCCCTTTTTTGTCCATTCTGTTACATGTAAGAGAACATGCATGCATTGTGATAGATTCAAACACTATATTCAACAATGTTCAATGATATAATATAATGTTGTGGATGTTAAATTTAGTGATATCTCTCTTTTTTTTTTCTTTTTTTTCATGTTTTTGCAAGTACATATCATATATTTTTAAAGCATGCAGATTAAATTTACTAAAGAATTGAAACATTTTTTTTTCAAGAATTAAAAAAAAAATTATTCTATAGATTAAAAAATGAATGTACAATGTACCCCAAAACTTTTGAAAAATGCCAATTTTTAAAGGATTTATCCTACATGTGTACCATCCATTTAAAATGGAAAAAATGTGTGTTAATTAATTAAAATGTGATGAACAAGTTTTTACCAACTGTTTTTTTAATTTGATTTCTTCCAATAGACTTAAAGTTTGTTTTATACATACATGTATCCTTTATATTACTAGTATAGACAAAAATGATCTACTTCTTAGCATAATAACTTAATTTCAGATGAAAAAAAATCAAAACCAAACTTGTATTCATTATATGTGAAAACTATATACATATATAGTAAGTGTTTATGTTTAGTAAACCTTTTCAACTTTTGTGTATATTTTGTAATATTTTATTCATTTTTAAATAGTATATCATGATATTTATTTTCTTTTTGATGTTAGTGAGTAAATCAAACTGTTCTATTGTTAAAAATTGTGCATGAAGTTTTTGTTTAATATTCATGATAATAGTCAACACTTTGATTATATGTACATTTATTTCTTTGTGTTATTTATCACAAATTATTATTATTCAATTGATAATTACAAATATTATTTGTTAACAGCATTATATTTAAGCATGCAGTGTATTTTAAAAATTAGAAAACATGTTTAAAAAAAGATGAACAAAAAAATTTGCATGGCACTGATGAGTAGAGAGGAAAAGTTAAGATTTAAGAATTTTCTATCATGTTTAAGATGTCAGTATTTTTTTGGAATTCGTTATAAACGTACAAATCAAGTTAACATTGAAATTAACATACGGAACCAGATAAAACTGTCACATCAGAAACTACCAGCACATTAAAGTGTTCAAACATTAAATGAGATTAAATTCCATGACATTTTTTTTAGTATTAAAGAAAAACCTCAGTACTAGTGATTGTATTTTCTTTATAATACCTGGATTTTAAGAAATATTAAACTTTAGCTTAGTATCAAAATATCTGTTTAAATATATTATGTTTTTATTTGTTTCATCATGAAGACTTGCATATTATTTCTTAATCATATTAGGAAAGGATTTAAAAAAAAAAAAAAAAAATAGTAGGTTATACTAATGTATAATAATGCTGGGTTTTTTTTAAAGATTTATTTGGCATATTTTGTTTTTAACATTTGTAAAGGTTATTTGGCATGAGTTAAGGTTACTCACTGTCCCCTGTGGTTTTGATGTCAGGTTTACCTATTAGTCCCTTATGATTTCTCAGGTTTATCATCTTTTTACATAAATTAGTTGTTGTGTTAGTTCTAGTATGCAACTAAATTACTTCATATCATACACAAAGTATTTAGTTTATTAAAAGAAGAGAGAAGAACAGGTCTTTAAAGTGATTTATCAGCTGTTTTCAGAGCTTTTTTTATTGGAAAGAATATTAAATATTCCAGGATTATGAATGAAGGAGAGATTTGAATTAAACATTGGGACCTGAAAGCAAGACTCGTTCTCGTGTTGAGGGATAAGATTTTAATGTCATTTGACATTGTGCATTGTTTTACACAATGCTATATTTTTTTCCAGGAAAAGAAAGAAAAGAAAAAAAAACATTTATTATGAGCCCTGTGTCTAAACAACTTGAGCGAAAATACAGAAAAAATAAGATATTCCCTGCTACAAAGCATTTCATGTCAATTTAATACAAGTATAATTATACAGTTGCTTCAAATTGGTTAAAAAACACAAGGATTACTATAAAAGTTATTTTGACATTTACATTTAGATGCATGCTCAGGCATGACATTTCTGCATTGTAATTAATACTCTGTGGAAAAAGTTGGTTCATTTATTTTACATTAGGAGTAATAGTAAGCAAAAAATGACTTTTAACGAGTACAGTGTGATGGTAATTTCTGTGTAAAGTTATAGATGTATGTCAAGAGCGTTAGAACTGTGGAAAAGAAAGCAGTCCTTTATTGAGTAAAATAGAAAGAAAAGATTGTTACTGGAACTTTTATGATGAACAAATACTGTTTATAGTGAACATAAATGTTACTTTTGCAATGGAATGTAATGCTTACATGTTCAAACGTTTTGAATGAATGTCCTGACGTCATAATTATTTGTTGTATGCTGGTAAGAAACCAATCAATTAAATTAATTTCTTAATTTTATTAATTTTTTGTTAAAAAAAAAATTTGAATGTTTTATTTCAATTGTGTTAAAATTCTCTTCTCTGTTATTAGCATTTATTTCTTGTTGACGCAGTTTGAATTAAAAAGTTTAACCTTATCTAGGACAGACCTTTTAATTATTTTCCATTGGTTATTTGACCATATAGTAGTGATATACTCAGTACAGTAAGTAAGTAAGTAATTTATTTATTTATAGTGACATGTGTACATAATTATACAATTATAATAAGTACATGTACAGTGAATACCCAAGTAAGTAGCATTCTTGCCCAGATCAAACTTGCATAGATGTCGCTCCTAAGTGTCACACCGCCTTAATGTCAGTTTGGTGTGAGACATTTATTTTCTTTACTGTAATATAAATGACATTTTTGATGTAAAGCTTTGTGATCTTTAATTATCTCATACAAAAAAAAACTTTATACAGTGAATAAATTTTAAAATGTGCTTTCTGCGTGAGGATTGAACCCCCACACCAAAATCATCGATAACACTTTGACAAGTTGACTAATAGCTGAAACAAGTACTAGTACGTTCATGTATAATTTTGGTTGAAATCCCCCGCCAATCCCATAAAATAATTCTTGGATCTGCCTTTGTCCCATGCACAGTTGGTGCTGGTACGAAATAAAACCGCGATCTAAAGGATTTCTGAGTAAGGTTGAGATTTGTAGCCCCCACCCTAATCTTCGCTAGCCAGGGATTTCCGATCCTAAACAACGTTGAAGAGTAGATTTTGGATCTGGGCATCTTCGTGAAAAATTCTCGAAGAAACGCTAAACAATCAATTATATTTGTCTTCTGTTGAATCTTTACAGCTTATTTATTAACGTTATACAATATTTCTTATACATAGGTACTATTTTTTCTCTATATTTCAGATGTGAATACTAATTAACAATTTTTTTGTCTCTTTAAGTACCCAGATTTTATCAAATGAGATGAAAATATTTTGCATAGTTTTGGATAGGGCCAATCTTTGTGGAATAATTCCTTGAACGGCAGAAAGCTAGTCTGTTCCTGATATGACTTTCTGTTCTGTTCAATAATCAGGGAAAACGTCAGCTGAATGCAGGTAAAACTGCAAAGATAAGGAGTTTTATGACACATGGGTAAATACACTCAAGAAGCAATTCTCCATTATCTTTTCATGAAACGCCTTGATTAAACTGAGCAGTCGTGTTGATTGTTCGGTAATCTGTTATTATGAGCGTCAGAACCGGGAAAAATCTCCCATGTTTTATTAAACTGAGTGGGTATAAAATTCCGATTGGTGGTAGATAACAGCTCGTGCAATCCAATCAAAATGAATTGCGTATGAGACCGCGGATGGTAGCAGGGATATGTAAAATTTATCTTTTCTTCTCATCTTGATTTGATGCGATACTTTCGTATGTAATCTAGATGCAAAGTTATTAATATTAAGTGATTTCACTGGCGGATCCAGAAATTGCTGAGGAAAGGCGGGAATGTGAAAAATAAAAACGGGGAGAAAACATATTGTATCAATACCATTGAACTTCCACTTTCAGGATAACAATGAACTATTTGTGCAAAACAAAGGAATCTAGAATATAGTTCTGAACAAAATTAGCAGAGTAATTTCTGATTATTTCATAATTTGCAACAGGTGTATTACATGCTCAGCAGAAAAATTGAGTGGTCCATTCGATGAAATTCTATATTTGTCCCTTATTTCGCAAACCTGTTAATGGCAAATTGATTAACGATTAAATCGTTTATAAAACGACTTTGGGGATGATGCCATGCATGTTAATAGATGTGTATGTAAAGGACTGCAAATATTGTAGTTTTTATTCCAGCACTGATGGAAAGTTCCATCTCTCTCTCTCTCTCTCTCTCTCTCTCTCTCTCTCTCTCTCTCTCTCTCTCTCTCTCTCTCTGAATCAATGTCACATAAACAATTACATAGGCCTACATGTATTGCGAAACAGTATTATTTACCCGCCTGGATATTGACTTTTCTGATTGCACTTGTCTGTTTCAATCTCAGAGATTGTACATTTCTCAAACCGGAAATATGGTACAGTAGGGGCCCCGGAAATACATAGCGATCCTTAATAGATAAAGTCTAATAAGTAAAAAAAATCAAAGTACTCAGAAGTACAGAGAGCTGGGCTCATTTACAGAGTAAAATGAATTTCTTACATGAATCATACGTTTATATTGTATTAACAGATTAAAAAAAAAAGAAAATCAGATTTAAAATTCTGATGAAAAAAATTATTTTAAATCTATCAAGTGAATATAAATTATCAAAACTCCTTACACTAATGAACTATGTTCTTTGACTTAAGACTGAAGTTTTCAAAGGTACTAAATATGTTTATTTATTTAGATAAAACTTCGTTTTATTTTTGTTGCTTTATTTAGCGTTTGTATTATCTCAAAAGCGGTTGAGAGTAAGAACTATATTTTTACACGTAACTTTAAAATGGCGACTATGGGGTTAACATCCTGTCTTGAACAGGATCACATAAGCCGGCAATTGCTCTTTGAGCAATAAGCCCGGCTAAAAATGGGGAAGTTCTAAGTGAAATGATATGCTTTTAGATATGTTAGATGAGTTAGATTTTATACCACGTGTACTGATAACGTTAACTGTACATGTACATAATCGATCCTCTTTTTAAATATGGCTTTTCTAAAGTTATTTTGATATCATAATCATTATTTAAAAAGTGCACGGATTTGGATATAGCGAATTTAAAGGGGCTTGGGGTTGTGGCCATTTTCAGACTATTTTGGTCTACTTTAGAAGAAGAGTTCCATATAAAGAAGTACAAAAATGATTTAAATTTTTAAACTAAAATATATGAAATTTTTCTTTGTCAAATGATATTTGACAGCTTAAGATATCATATCTAAAAATTTTAGTTGAGCATTTCTCCGAATTGTAATATGTTAATAATTCCGGTAATGTCCATGAACTATAAGTGAAACACGGCTAACGCCGAGAGAAAATAATAAAAATCACCTTGTGCTTTGCTGTGTATTACAAATTGTACCTGGCCACCTAAAGTGGACAAAATCTTCTCTTAAAGCAACCAATATTGGCACATCGATTTACATTTAAAACGCTAGAGCTTACACTTATCGTAAATAGTCTTCATTAATCGAATAGAAACCGGAATAGGCAGAAATCTTTCACATTATTTCTCGATCGATATTTGAGCTAGAAATTGTAATTAGTGAATGAAAATGATAGGTTAGTCGATCGATATAATGTAATAACTTGTACACACATTTTGTGTAATTGCGAAATTTTGAGTTTTTAATTTTAATCAATAGCAAAATGAATTCTCTATTTATTATAAGAAATAAAATTACTTTTTAACGGTAAATTTATTTTTGATTATAACGCATTATATATCTCATAAAGGCTTTTTTTATAACCTATTACATTTTGAACGTTTAAATCCCTCACTAATATTTGAACCCCTTTATAGATGTACATGTATAGCTTGAGAAATTCTCATATTTTATATATCCCTTAATTGAAACGTAGGCGCGATTTGCAATTCTAGATCTGTCTCTCTTTCAATTAAACTAACCCCCATTATTGCAGTAAAGAGAATTGGTCTAATTTAAGGTATTCGACAATAATATTTTGATTGATTTTACTCCAGTAAAATAACTATACAAGGAGGTAAGTACATTGATCGATCTCAGTTTGTGTGTCACCATTTAGTTATTAATTCAGGATTTGATTCTGCCCTTGAGGGAAATTTCTTGGTCTGGTAAACAGTATATTCCGATTGCACTTCCGATCATTTATATTTCAAAATTATTCCATGGTCGCAATCAACTATGAATTACATGTAATATTTATCAAGATCTACAGTAAAGCGTAATTTTTCATCATAAATGCGTAAATTCCGACAAAATATTTTGATGTATCATGTCTTTGCATCAAATAGAGTTTGTCGAGCTTCACCATGTTCACTGTTTTGTAAATTGTCTATTTACTGGATTTTAATACATATTTAGATATTTCCATGACAATTTTTCGTGTCAGTTGTAAATTTTATATTTACTGCTATGAGGTAGAATCAAAATTTACAAGATGATCCTAATACCATGAAAAGTTGATCAACAAACCATAGGCATCGGAATCGAAAGGGGGGGGGGGGGGGGTAAATCCATGCACTCCCCCCCCCCCCCCCCAAATAATTTTGCAAAGATATAGATTTCATAGGAATTGAAAATTGGGGTTTGCCCTTTTTTGTTGTTTTAGTCCCCCCTTTCAATTAGCCCCCCCCCCCCCCCCACTTTCAGTTTGCTTCCGACACCGTCCTATGCAAACTATACACATTTCACAGAAACCAACTGAAACCATGAAACGAAACCACCTACACGTTTTATTTACTTAATATGTGTCGTGGTTTTAAACATTTTCCCTGGGCGCTGTTTGTTACTAGTCAGAAAAATTTATATTCTAGTAAACTGATATTCTGAATTAGCTATTTTAACCAAAAATATTGCAAGGCGAATTTACAAGCAGCATGTACATAACACCTGTATAGTACAAAAACGATCTAACAATGTTTTATTAATCAAAATATTTTTTGTATAAATTACATCAATCATTTTGAAGAGACGCACGGATCTGCGCAACAAGGTGGTCAACCTCCTCCGACACTAAAGCATCAAATTCCTCTTCCCGAAGACCGGTGTCGACATCTGTACCAAGATCTTCTGGGTTTATGATAATTCTACTTTTAGGCTTGGGTCCTGAAAGGTATAATATGGTCAGTTAAATACATGTTTTGTTCAACAGCATCTAAATATATATTAAATATAATTAACAATACCAAGGTCCATATAAGAAGGTATTTCGGAAGGGAGTGAGGCACAATTAATTACATTTTGTACACATTCCTTGAAAAGCATAAAAGAAAAAAACTGTCTTCTAAAAGTATTCAAGAGGAGGGACATTAACATCCTTGAATTAATCGAAGTTTAAGTTGTTTTTTTTTCATTTTAAAATATATTTGTATGACGATAAAACTATTGAAACACCCCACCCCCAATCCAAGTGACATCCGGTATGTATAGGCCTACTTCAGAATTTTAATCTGAGGAGAAAAAGATAACATCGCTTTAATTTTGTTCCTACTACTTGCCACTGACCTTTCTCTTCCTTCATCCATTTTTGGATTTCTAGTAGTCCCATAACAACCCAGGACCACCCGGGAAACATCGTTGTTAGACCTACAAAAATTTATAATTTTGTTTATAAAAAGTTAAAATAAATGCTGATTATATACTTGGTAGCCATTTGCCATTACAGTAAGTAATAATTGCAAGTACTAGTATATCTCTAGTAAATAGAATCAAACCAAAAATAATGAATACTTTCCTTAAAAAGTTCAAGGCAGTTATAAATAAAATTAAACTTTCACTTACCTGAAAATCAACGTTGGATACGACAAGGTAAATATGAGAAGGCCAAAAATCGAGAGATTTTTGAAAAAAAAAATCAAGAGATTTTTACAATAATTTTCTACACAAAATGCTCAACCACAGATTGTTTATAGAAACAGGATATCCACAGTAAATAGATTATGACGTTCTAAGCTTTGTGACGTCATAATAGAGTTGAAGACGAGATGTGACATGCCCCCGCCTCCTTCTGCAAAACCTCTGAAATCATTGGAGGATTTTCTGTATGCTGTTTTGACTGTTTTAAAGTTAAAGAATTAAAATATAGCACTTGAGAAAATGTTTTTTTGTCATAAATTATTTTGATTTTTATTATTGAATTAGACTGCAGGGCAGCTGATTTAGATTTAATTATAACACTTTATGAGGAGAATTTCAGTACATTTTCGTTTCAACTTACATATTTTTCCCTTACAAATCGAGTTTTTGTACTATATTTTAATTAAATGTATAGAGACTGTACAAGTATATCACATCATAGGTTTTGACTCCACTCGTGGTCTTATGACACCCACCAGTAGACATAGAACTCCTAACGTTGTAGGACCCGAGTTCGTTCCGATTGGTTGCCTTCGGATGTTTACGAGTGGACTTGGGTCCCCTTATGTTGTGAGGATGAATAAAAAGATTGCAAGGATTGGATGCCGTTTGTCAAAGAGGCTTATGAAATGTTCTGCACACCAGATTTTCTATACGTATTTGATTACATAATTATTTGATTTTTATTTGATACGTATTTGAGCCCGGGCTAAATTGTTACAAGGGCAGTATAAAATTAAATTGTTTTTTCTATTAAGTTAGCTTCGATCATCGAGGAAGGGTTTCTGTTTCTATATCCGACCATATAAACGTAAATAGTAAGAGTATTTCAATCAAATAAGGTACTGAGGAAAATATTAATTTACAAGCAAATTTCGTTATATTTCTTGATAAGACCACGCCAATTTAATTTTTTGCTCGCCGGACCCGTTCTCTCGTACATGCATTCAAACAAAATTATACATATTTGGCAAATACTGAGTACATACATGTAAAGTTGTGTTAAGTTTCCCGCAACTTTGAAATTCTGTGCTAGTTTCTAGGGGTTTTTTTCCCTCCCTATTTGTCATTTTTAATCTGTTTCAAAGAACTCTACAAATATAAAAGGAATATATACAATTAGATATAATTGTCCGCCCAAATTCTTTCATGTTCTGCCTAAAATTGTTGCCTGTACCAAAAAGTAATGATATTACTATTAAAACATTTACGTTTTATGCATTACTTCGAAACATTTAAAATCACACAAACAGTAGAGTACGCTTTATACATACGCTCTGTACAATGTACATACATTTACATAATTTTAATTCCTTCGAAGGAGGAAAAAATAGCTGAAATATTGTATTTAATGCAATTGTAAACGTAATTGTACATATCAAAATGAAGACAAACTTTAATGTTGATACAAAGAAAAAAAACATGCATAAGGGAAGAAACAAACTTAAGCTTGACCTATACACGCACTCAAAAAGAAAATAATGAAGCCTCACACTAATTAAAATTTGATGTTCGATTGATGAAGTCTATACGAACTTGTAAAAATGACTAGCATATCCACCATCTAAACACATAATATGGCGGATGACCAATTAATTATTTATTTTTCAAACATATTTTTTGTTGTTTTTTCCCCCTTAATTTCAACAAAAACTCAGTTGTTTATATGGCAAAGATTAAGGGATGAATCGAAGTAAACCCCTTTATATATAATTAATTCGTCGTCTTGTTTAGACAAAGAGTGTGTTCTTGCATATTTCCTGATTTTCCCCCCTATTTAGAATTGCTTAATGTGTAAGTTTATTACTGTAAGAGAAAACAAATTTTGTAAAGGTTTTTGTATAAATAAGACAAATATTAATACATGTAGACGGACAAGGGTTTTTTTGATATTTTTTTTCATTCCTGTTCCAGAAATTATCAGTTGGCTCAAGCATTCAGTTTTTATTTTTAAAAAAAAATAAAAAAATTATTCATGGAGAGTGATTTTCAATATAACAAGTTGACAATAGTTTTCTTAGGGTGAAAATGTTCAATGGGTTGCGATCCAATCCAAGAATTTATCAACTGGATGGCTGAAGCATTTTTTTTTCTTTTTATAAAAAGCAGTTATCTGTATTCGTGGAAAATGATCGAGTTTCAGAAAATTTACAGATGGCAGTAAAATTCAGTCAAATTGCTATAAAGTTATTGTAAATCTTTCTTCGTTTTAAAATCCACTTCTTTATATACATATTGTATAAAAGTACCCCCCCCCCCCTTTTCTCTTAGTCTCGGCGCACAAAGATTTAATCAAAATAACACATATTTTTATATCATATACAATTTTTCTAGTATATTTTACGATTTAAATCGCGTCTTCTTGACCACATATTTGTCCTCGATAAAATTAGTCACAAACACAAAGATTACTTGTTCAACATTTAACATTGGAGGTTAGAGATAATACAATATTAACATTACAGTCATATTGTGATTTCCACTTTTTTAGCTTTAACTACTTATAGAGTTTATTCCCAGTTGAATTGATAAGAGCACGAACATTCTCTACATACAAACAATTTCTAAAATGAGACAAGCTATTGACAAAGAAGTTGATGCTTGAATGAAGAATAGTGAACATTTCAAGTTTTAGGTCGATATAATTATGTACAGTGACCTTCTTAGCAAAACCATCCTATAATTTTAAAAGTCGAATGATGTATGACGATCCCTTGTTAGGCCATTATTTCAATCCTTCTTGCTCTGTTTTAACGAGAAATATATCATTAAAAAGAGATCAACGAGGTTCTTAATTTGATCAGATTGGTAATTATTTATGGAATCACTGTCTAGTTAGTATAGTATGCCAGGGCATCAACAATAGTGGGAAACATGGGGTAATTTGCATAACGGGCGAAGCCCAAATTTACATTCCGGTAGAATTATCAAGAAATCAACTCCGCTAGCTTTCAAAGAGTTATCATAGAGAAAAAAATTAGCAATGGAAATATTTACTCAATGGATTGTCTGCGAGGATCTCCGTTTACCCGATGACGACAAGGCGCACTTGGTAGATGTGATCGGCCGATAAGGGATGCGCATTCCTCCTTGGTAGCTGCAGATCTGTAGCTCTCCGAAAAAATATATTGATAGACCAGAGAGCTACAGTGCCACCCATCGAAAAAACTGTTTATTCATTGCTCACAAAAAGTTGCGCTTAAATCTGGATTAATTCTTCCAAAATTCTTAGCTCAATCGTAAAAAAAGATAGATTTTAAAAAAAATCCTTACTCCTCTATGAAGTACTCCCGTAATTGACATCTGTACGACGTTCGTTGGACCGAAATATCTTGCAAACCAAAATGGCAGTATATATAGATAAAATTTTCTATGAGCTCGATTTCAGGGCCAGGAGGGCTATTAACAACTATTATAAGGAATGTTTTGATGTAGAAACAATGAAGGAATATGTTAGGAACACACGATTAGTAATATTTTGAGATGACAGTTTAAAAACACGGAAAAATTAATCGAGAAACAGCGCATTTTTTTGTGCGCAATAAATACAATGGTCGACACTGTAGCTCTCCGGTCTGTCAATATATTTTTTTTCGAAAGACCTACAGATCTGCAGCTACCTCCATGGCACCTGATACCACATCTGGTTCTTGTTTGCTCTGCTCTCCATTCGTATTGTTTCGATGTTTTTTAAACTTGATTTCTGTTTTCATATTTCACAAATTTAAGGATAATTAAATTTTGAATAATTTCTCCACCAGATGTTATATATTTTAAAATCATTCGACAAATACCAAAAAAAAGGTTTTTATTTAATTGTAAAAATATCTTTAATGAAACAAAAATACACTATTCATTCTGCATAGAAGCTCGAATCTGCGCAATAAAGCGGTCAACTTCCCCCGACACTAAATCATCAAATTCCTCCTCTCGAAGACCAGTGTCGACATCTGTACCAAGATCTTCTGGGTTAATGATAATTCGTCTTTTAGGCTTGGGTTCTGAAATGTCAAAAACAAAAAAAAAAAAAAACAAAAAAAAACATTTGAATACTATTTCAACAGCATCTTAATAAGTATATGTAAGAATATATATATTTGTAATAACACAATGTATTCATTCTCAGTCTCCTATCGGAGTAATATAACAGGAGGTGGTGCGGCACAGTTTAACATTATGATAAAGTTTCTTGAAAAAAAGAAAAAGAAATATTTTTTTTTAGAATGTATTAAAGTTATAACGTACTTTTCTTATTATTTTTCCGATAGAAATTACATCAAGATTCTTTGATTTAATTGCATACTGTGTTCGATGTATTATATGCGAATGTTTAAAAATGACTAGTTTTCGTAATTGTAATTTTTAAAAAAAATTTCTTGGGGAGGGGGGGGGGGGGCTTAATTTTCTCCTCTTTCATCCATTTCTGGATCTCCAGGAAGCCCATAATCATCCAAGACCAGCCCGGAAACATTGCTGTGTGAAGACTTAGCTACAATATATAAAACTGACCGTCAAAAACAAAAAAAACTTGGGGTATGTCATTAAATTGAGATTCTTTTGATTCGTTTTACGTAATAAAATACTAGATTTCCAAAAAGAACAATTATAAATCAATATGATTATATTGTTAAAAAAAAATATGCATACACTCACCTCTTAACTTTCAAAAAATATAAGCAGCTCTGGTAGAACAAAGACTGTGTCCTTTGGACAAAAATCAAGAGTTATTTGCAAGAA